TTATATATGTTTTCTTTTTCACAACTGTCCACCAAACTAATATACCGTAAAGTAATATAGGTCTAACTATAGCCGTGTAGCACCAGTACATAAGACCGGGTGAGAGACCCCATGTACTTCCCAGCATCCTTTTACATGCGTATAAAGCATTTGTTGCCTTCTTTACCCGTTCTTCTACATTAGGCTTCCACGTCAGTTTGCTATCCACAATTACTCCAAGGTATTTCGTTTGAGTTTTCAGTGGCAGAAGAGTTCCGTTCAAGTTAGGTGGCGTCCATGCTGTGACCTTGTACTTTTTTGTGAAAAGTATTGTGTCAGTTTTTTCTGCGTTTACGCTTAAGCCAGCGTCAGTCGCCCAGTTGTAAATTGATTTGAGAGCGTCGCTCATTAACGCACTTAGAGTAGATAGGCATCTCCCCGTTATAACTACTGCGATGTCGTCCGCATATGCAATTAGTTTCGGAGCTTTACCATCAAATTGTTTAAGAATTTTATTGATTACCAGTAACCAGAGAAGGGGTGAGAGAACGCCTCCCTGCGGGGTTCCTCTACATGTTTCCCTAGCTAGAGTTGTATCGTCTGCCCTTATCTGTCTGCAGCTTAAAAGGCTTGCAATCCATTGATATGTGGCTGAGTCTATACCAACATCATCTAAGCTATTTAAAATAGCTTGCGTTGATACATTATTGAAAGCACCCGCAATATCCAGAAAAACTCCTAGAGCGTATTCTTTGTATTCTAAGGCCTTTTCAATATTAGAGACAAGTGTATGGAGAGCAGTCTCCGTGGATCTGCCCTTAGTATAAGCGTGTTGTGCTCTTGACAGAACTTCAGGAGCTAATTGGTCTCCTATATGTGCTGCTAGTATTTTTTCAAAAATTTTGAGAATAAAAGAGGTAAGACTAATTGGCCTATAATCTCTAGAGTAGAGGTGACCATTTTTTCCTGCTTTCGGAATAAAAATGACTCTTGCCACTCGCCAGTTTACGGGTACGTAATTATGCTTCAGGCATCCTCTAAAGATATTTATCAGCCATGTTTTTATTAGGTCCGAAGCCTTTTGTATCATAGCTGGATAAATACCATCAAGTCCAGGAGATTTGTATGAAGCGAATGATTTGATTGCCCATTCCAGCCTCACGTGAGTAACAATATTTTTTCCTGCGGAGCCTACTATATTCCTGACCGGTTCGGTATTGCTCACAATTGCACAGCCAGGAAAGTGAGTGTTAGTAAGATCTACAAGTGATTCAGTGTTAGTTTTTGTCCATTCGCCGTTTTCCTTCCTGACAAGGTTAGGCATAGTTGGGTGTTTGGATAGTAGTTTTCTAAGCCTAGCTACCTCCACCGTCTTTTCTATACCTGCGCAAAAATCCTTCCAGGAGTTTCTTTTCGCATTTCGAATGTCTTTTTTGTATTGCTTAAGAATATCTCTGTACTCTTCCCAGATGACTTCACTTTCTGCTAGCTGAGCCAGCTTGAAGATTTCGCGAACGTAGCGTCTTTTTGATCCCAATTCCTTATTCCACCAAGGAGGTTGAGATCTACGTTTAGTACGCATTGGCGGGCACGCGATATGGTACGCTATAGTTAGGGCTCTGGTAAGTTGGTCAAGCCTAGCTTCCAGATCCACGTAAGAATCAATTGTCGTAATTTTTTTCAGTCTCTGTTTCAGAATTTTTCGATAAAGGTCCCAATTCGTTTGTTTGGGATTTCTTACAACTTTTCTGCTTTTAAGGTACTGAAAATCTATTTGGAAACTAATATATATGTGATCTGAAAATGATGGTTCGTTAAGAACCTTCCATTCTATCACCTGTACATTATCTTCCGTGAAGAGTGTTATATCTAGAACGTTTCTGGAGGTCGGTCCAACATAGGTCGGTTCCTCTCCTCTGTTAGCTACACTAAGCCGATTATCAGACTTTGCTCTCCTTCGCCAGCTAAATCTACCAGCCTTTGGAGTTCTTCTGATGGTATTTCTTCCTCATGTGGCATGTAGCAAGACGCGAGAAGTATGTTCCTATCGCCGTCAACCGCCACTACCGTTAGATCTTCTGTAGAGAGAGAGTTTACAATATAAGAATTAATACCTTTCTTTACTAGTATAACAGTTCTTACCCTTGTTACCCCATGTGGAATGAATGTGTTATAGTTTCGTGAGTTTAACCCAGAGACCAGGTTGCCCGAGGCCAGCCATGGTTCCTGAATTAAAGCCACATCGTAGCCGCCCTCTTCTAGATTAAGGAGGAGCTCAGCTGAGGCAATTTTACTTCGGTGGAGGTTTATTTGTAGAATCTTTAGCATGAGCTTCCGATTCTTCGAGCGCCTTTAGTCACCTACAAACTTAAAGTCAAATTATGTTTGTAAAGAAAATATATGAACTGTGAAGTAGAAGGTACAAGACTTCATTTCCTCAAAATAATGGTTTACTTCTTATTCATACAATAAACTCGGTAATGAACCATTATAAAATCAAAAATCTTATAAAGTAATAAACAAATCTTAGTTTTCTTCACTGACCACTGATTATGAAAATAAGGCTACGTATGCCTAGATAGGGAAAAATATAATAATTGCAAATTAAAATTTCAGTAATTAATCTTGATATATTCAACAATCTCACAAGTTTAAAACTTTGCTAAAATATTTTTTAAATTTCAACTCAATAGTAACGACTGTCATTATAAAATACTTACTTCCCGCATACCTACCTCAACCGAAGCTCTTAAATTAAATTTAAATGGTTGATGTAATTTCGATGGAATATCGCAACTTTACTCCAAATGAAATTTTCATTCAAGCCCAAAATACGTTAACGAAATCATGACTTCATCAAAAGTTTAATTTCTTTTCTTCCTTTTCACTAAACCAAAATAGACTCCACATTTTGGGAAGGTGACTGTTAACCAAGAGCTGATTCGCACCTGTGACCTTAAAAATAAGACACAGTAAAACAAATTAAATAATTGCAAACTCCACTTTCTTCATATAAAAATCATTGGGAAGTAACTTGCTTTGGAGCACTGAGACATCGATTGGTGCGAAGTTTAGAAAAATTCAATCCTGTAATAACTTAAAACAGCAAATTGAAATCGTGAGGATATGTATGCATGGGAAAAACATGAAATAACAGACTCAGAAGATTATGGTTTCGGTGCTTATCATTTAAAAACTTCAAAGCATGGCAATGAGTTCCTAATCTAGCTTAGCGATACTATTGCGTAGATATACTCGTAGATGTGTGTGATTCCTCGCAGCATTATTTTTCACCTTTCTTACTTCGTTATGTACCATCATTTGAAATTAAATACATGATAACAACGCTATCAAAGTTATGTACCCAAACATCCATAATAAGATGGATCCCAAAATATAATATTTTCAAGTCTTTATGTACCAACAGAAAAATAAAATTTTCGAGCATGTGAATTGTTGGAAATAAAACCATCTTTGACTCCACTAAGTGTATAAAAATGTATCCTCCAAATCATCCAAGTCATTTTAAATCAGAGTTTGAGTACTAAGAAACGTGTCTTGTTTTTGTAATTTCGATGTAATTAAAACAGGATATTAGGATATACAAATATGTACGTGCTATGCGAGATGTAGCGTTGAGGAATCCTTTGGAATGTTCATTTAAAAAAATAAACAATTAGGCGTAAATATAAAAGCTTGTATGAAAACTTTAATGAAGAGTTTAGCGCAAAATTATTTTCACTTTGAGTGAGAAAATAACACTGATTATAAGGACGTGGAACTTAAGAAAAAACGTCAGCAAGTCAAAGAAAGTCACTAAAGATTGGGTAAGAAAGTCACTAATGTTTTTTTTTAAATTAAGAATTATTAAAGTATAGAAATACTTCGGATCTATTGAATAAATTTCAGACAATGACTACATTTTTAGCGATACAATGTTTTAATTACAAAAATCATAAATGACTTCACTGAAGGAAGAAGTGACCTGTTTACATTCATCTAGACAGTTTAAGACTATTCAGCAGTCAAAATTAAAGAAGAATTGCTTAGGTTTTTTATTCAAATACATCGTACTTCTTCAAACTAAGCCAATACTAAATCGAGTCTTTTTTTAAAAGATGTACAAAAGTGTTTCTTACTGGAGCTTATAGAAAATGTGAGAATTAGGAGAAAACTAGAGTTTAACACACATCACATGCTCGTGTCCTGTACTGGTTAGGAATAATATTTTTCACATTCAAAAAGTTAACACAAAACGCAAAATTCAAAATAGCAACACCTCTCAGATTCACAAGGGACTAGAATTCTAAATAGAATTCCTAAACTTATGGTTATGTATACGGAACAATATGTGCAGAACTAACGACTTACATATTAGAGAAATATTAGGTAGTTATAAACATAGAACGAACGTGTTATCTATAACTTCTAGATTCTTCTACTAACTCCAAGT